CTATATATATATATATATATATAGTATTCTATACAAATTAAACCAAGCCACTAAAAGTGGTGAGATGGAAAAAGTAGATTTTAACACTTATGTTTGCAAAATGTAATAACTTTATATATTTCAGTCATTCGTTTAAACGCCTGAAACGTCACACAATCATTTAAACATGTAAGTACTGTATTTAATAACATAAATTCACTGTATTATATTCACTTTAAGCATGATCGAAAGGTGATCACAGGACTAAAATCGTATCTTACAATTCTGCGAATAGTCTTCAATATTCACTTTATTATAACCAGAGAACACATGAAATAATGGAAAAACTGTGGACGATTTGGAAAGGATTTGAAGAGATTAACAAAAAATGGAAAGCATTATTTCCTTTTATATACATATTTTGTGTGTACCAAACTAGTTTCTGTATGTATATAGCCCTCTTCGTAAAGTTTGATATAATTGTTTGTCTGATTGTAGCAGTAACTGGAATATTGCTTTTGGCCGGATTATTAATGGTGTCATGGGCACTATCATACTTTATATCAATTGTAAGTATTGCTACTATCAATGCAATTCTGAAAATTAAAATTGTGCAATTACGATGAATGTATTAGTAAGTTTACAACAAATATATTAAAATATTTCATATATACAATTTTATCAGTATAGGAAAATGTTATACTTTACCTTTTACACCTGAATATTGATTTAAAGTATGTAGTTTGTTTTAATTTATGGCATTATTTTTGTAATTATAGTAAATAAAATGGCGTTTCAGATTATTTGTTTCATGAAGAGGTTTGGAGGAAGACCTTTCGTAATATCAATGTGGGGATGTTTCTACATTAAAAAATTTCTTGATAAGAGTTAATAAGAATTATATAATGGCTTCTTGGGCTGCAATTTGAAAAATTGCACACCCGAAAATTCCCACTGTTGTTTGTTTGCCTGTCTGCCTGTTCTTTAATCTAGAAAACGCTGTTAGATAGATTAAGATCAATACAAGATGTAGAACGCTTAAAAACAGTAGGCCCTGATTAACTATATACGAACTTGAATGGAAGTCGCGTGATTTCGATTCAAATTTTTCCTTGAATTCAGTTACATAGATGACTATCATGACTCTGTTCTTATCAAGAAAAGTATAATGTACAGGGTAAACATTACTAACTTGAAATCGAGAACATATATTTTAAATTATCTTACCTTTTCTGGGTCATCAGTGGCCAAGCGGTTCTGTTCCCTGAACACAGGGAATTCGGTCATGGAATTTTTCGGGTTTTCTCCACGTTTGTAACGCCTAAATAGGAGCCAGTTATTCTTAAAAAGAGCGCTCGGAAAGCATTCTTCTAGGCAGATCGCCGAAGTATCGCATTGCCATAACTTAATTAATTAATTATGGAAAATAAAGTTCACAGCCAGATCTACAGTCTAAATTACTGGATTGTTTACTAAAAATACATAAATAGGCAATACGAACAATTAACTTGGTGTTTCTATGAAGAAACTTAAACAATTGCAAGAGAATAATAAAGTGAATGTTATCAGGTGTTTTCTATTGCGTTTAGAAAGTTTGTGTTGCTACTGTCTCACTAAATCAGGCAACTGATACGTTGTGTGTGTAAAATTTTCCTAATTGTACGGTATCAGAGAATTATAAAATGGCAGGTTTGTTCGATTGATTGTTACACATTATAATAAAATTATATATTGTTATTACAATTATGTTTAATTTACCGCGTAAACCAATTTTATGTTGTCTAGCACTCAGTTTTTGAAAATGTAGAGTAAAAGACTTTCCAAATATAACAATGCCAAACTGAATGTTTTGAAGGATTACCTTATCTGCATATCATCAACTGCATAATAAAGTATGTAACTGGAGTACGTAAATTAACGATTAGACTTTACTTTCTCGGCTGTTATATACAGGGTGTATCAGAATGACGTTTTAAAAATTAGGGAGATTGTAGAGGATGAAATTTTGAACGTTTTTATATAAGGAACCCATATCCGGAAATGTGATATAAAGTTTCTATAGCACTTTGCACTTTGCAGTCGGTATGATAAATGAAACAGCAGAATACAGTATTTATGACAAGTTTTATTGATAAAACAGTAGAGTACAATCAAACTGTACATCGAATCAGTGGTTGCACTACTTTAGAGTAAATGTTCAATGTGACGATCACCAACTTCGTTACATGGTGTGGAACGACGAACCATATTTTGTCCGACTCTGTAAGATGCCACGCTCCCCTCTGATGGTATTAAATGCTGTAAAGATGCGCTCCGTAAGCTCATGAACTGTTCCTACAGGTATTGCGTACACAAGGGACTTTACATAACATCAGAGGAATAAGTTAAGAACAATAACATGACGTCAATGGACGGAAGGGTAGCTACCAAAGTGAAGGGCGGTCAAGCACTTCTTATTGCTGTAGAAACTTTATATCTTATCTACGGCTATAGGTTTCTTATATCAAAACATTCAAAATTTTATCCTCTACAATCCCCCAAATTTTTAAAATTTCATTCTGATACACCCTGTATAACAGATGGAAAGTATAAAAAATCAGCAATGAGTTGCTTAACCTTCAAAAAAACATTTTGGAGCCGACATTTCTTATCATATTTTATTTTAATAAGTTTTATGTCCTTAACTATTATGAAATGGCAAAACGCTTAATTCTAAGGGTAGGAATGAGTTTTATAAAATAAATAAATAAATAAATCCATACCATTAGAATTAATTTGGATGTACTTACATTGTCATGAATAATACGTATCTTATCGGCATAGAATTTATTCATTCTGGTGTGATGCATGTATTTAAATTTATGTATTAAGTGAAAAATATAATCTAGTTTTATATATATAGTTAGTGATGTAACTGTTTAATCATATTTTAAATTTATGAAATGTAAAATATATGGTCGCGATGTTAGTAGGTACTACCCCTGTAAGTCATACCTTTCCTAACAACAACCGAGTCATGCTGTCATCTAACTCCACCCAGAAGAAAATATTCGAATTGAAATAACGTGATTTACGATCGAACAGTTCGTATATATTATATAGTGTCCTCCTGCCTGTAAGCTTTCCATATCTGGTTTCAACATTCATCTGTTTATTTTTTAAATTTCTTTTTCGAAGGTAAGGATAGATATGCAAAACGCCTTACAATGCTGTTTTGAACACGTAATTGATGCAAATAGATTGCACATTGAACAAATGTTGTGAATAGAAACCTTTCGCGTGTTTTATTTTATGTTTCTCGTTGTTCATGCGCTATTTTTTCGCCTAGTGGTAAAAATTCGAACTAAATATTTTTTTGCATTTTCCTTTTACCCTTGGTCCATATAACATAAATACCAAGTTTCATCAAAATATGTACACGAGAACGGGCTCTAGATAGGTTAGAGTAGCGCAACTTTAATTATAACCACCCTGTATTTCTAAATAATACTAAATTCTGCTGAAGACTATGCCCTAAACTGAGAAAATGACAAAAAGGATTGTATTATCTTTTGTAAAATTATATACAGTGCCCTGGCTATTTCACGAAAAATCATAGTATTTTTGAATTCTATAAGTTTAAATTATATGTAATACTAGCTGCAAGGACCGGCTTCGCTGGGTTTTTATTTGTTCGTACATTTGTATGTAATATAGTTTTTTATATATATAAAAGACTGTTTTTCTAAGTAATATAGAATCTAGCTGCAAGGACCCGCTTCGCTGGGCAAAAAGTAACGATAGTGAAGATTAAGATAAGTACATTATAGCCAATCTTACCCGTTTTCACAAAATGTAAGAATTAGGTCCCCCGTTTCCAGACTAATTAGAGAATTTTTACGTTTAGTCAAACGAACTATTTTCAACGTTTCTGGAACGTTTACAATCGTTCTATAATCGAACCAATATTCGAATTTTATGTTCGAATTTAATTCGAACAAATTCGAACAAAACATTCGAAATAGAAAGCCACTTTCAACTACTTTTAGCCTCATATCTCCCGCACCCTTATAGCTATCGAGACGCAACCACCCCTATGCAGGAATGGAGACTTGGGGCTACCACTACATACAAACACCATTCACGTGCGATGTGTAGTTTTGGGGAAAAAGTGAAATATAGGGACATACATGTTAATTTATATATATTTATAGATATAGATATTAACGTCTATGTATAAATGCATTATATAAATGTTTAATACAAGAGCATCTCCCACACCACTCTACATACAGTAGGAAACCCGAAATGTTGTTTATGAAATTGCTACAGAAGTTAGAATCTTATAAAGTATTTAAAAGAGCATTGTTTTGATTCGTGTAATAATAAAAGAAGTTAATTTACTATCAAAATAATGCATTTAAAACCGTTCAATATACATAACTGAATTTTTCATAAAAGAGAAATCAAATTGCTTGAATCCAGTTTTATTTTTTTCGAATATTTTAATTACAATTTAATTTAAAAAAGAATATATTTTTACAAATTTATTCAAAATTTCGCTTATAACAGGTTAATAACTTGAAGCAAATCGAAGACATCTTTTCTGTGCTCTGTGAGAAAAATATACAAAAAATGTACATAAATATAATTATAATTTTATTAATTATTATTCTAAATAATTAAATTAACAACACTTTTAATATATTTAATAATGTTATAGACATTACCATGGTGTGATTCCAAGGCAATACTGGAAAGTATAAATAAAATTTGTAAAATTATTTATTAATATATTGAAAAACTTTTTCCATTTTATTCATAAAATTTTCAAATTAGTGTAATAAAAACTTACGTGAAATGCGACGTAATTTTCATCCGAAAACAGATAATTTTCATGCATACATTCATCAAATTTTTTCAGCTCCTACATAAAGGATAATTACAGAAATTACTTAGAAAAGTATTCCTACTTTACATATAATATCTATTTATTCATTATTTACTTAATTATAAAGTTAACCAGCAAATATTTATTGTGATTTTTTTCACAATACCAGGCTGCAATTTTTAATTATACTTTTAATTTATTTAATTTAAAATGTATGCTTTCCACCTTAAATTAGTGGTGTTTTGCCTCTGTACATCACACTTTTCCTATTAGCCATAGTGTGATGATAGTCATGTATCTAAGGGAATATTGTTCAAATTAAAATAATATCACTTATAATCTGCGTGGAACGGTAGAATACATTTAATCGGGGTGTCGTCCTTCTCTACTTTTCATTTGTGGTCTTAGCTTTATCTGTCTAACAATTTTCTCGAAATTAACAAAGGACAGACAAAAATTCAGACAGAAAACAGTGAAAATTTATAGGAGTACAATGTTTTTAAAAACTGTAGCCCAGTAAATTCTTATTCAAGTGTTTCATACCTGTTCTTTGGCAACTTCGCAGAAAAAATGTTTTATGTCTTCTGGTGTTTGTGCAGGAGAGACTCGAAGAATACATTGCTCAATGGCATGCTAAGTGTAATAATTAACGATTTATTACAAATATTTTTAAAACTTTTGTAAAATAAATCAATATACTTACATCTTCCTGAACAATAAGTTTAAAACATCGGTAAAAAGGTTCAGGATCCGCAAATTCTATAAAATGCAGTTAACGAGCATATATTTATTGTGGAATCTTCACAATGCAAAGATGCAATTTTTAACAGTATTTTTAATTTATTTATAAAGCTAATAAATTAATTAATTTGAATTAAAATATATACTCTTTGCCTCAAATTAGTAGTGTATTGCTCCTGTACATAATAAATTTTCTGTTAGCAATAGAATCGTGCCAGTCATCTATATAACTTCTTTCAGGGGGAAATGGTTGTATTCAAATAACGTGACTAACTGTAGGATGTTTCTATATAATTAATCGGGGCCTATTTTCGAAATATTTATATATACATCTTTACATTTACCTGTGTAACTTTGTTTTTGAAGATTCAAGAAGGACGGACAGACCAACACACAAACGTGGAAATTTACAGGTCTAAAATTTTTTTCAAATTGCAGACCAACTAATATTGTTTAATGAATTGAGCGTCACTTAAATTGTATCCTCATCACCAAAATATAGCCTATTACACGTATGGTTACTATGTATATGCTTATTGTGTAAGTAATACTAATTAAAAGTTACATGAAAGGAGATTCTCATTTTAGTTTCGTTTATTTAGTTACATCAACGTAAAACGTGGGTCACTTGAAGAGGGAGGATACCTCCTTGAAAGATATTTATGGGAAAATTTTGCTTATTTAGCTATTACTAACATAAAAAAAACACAGGAAAATCCACCGGTCAGAATAATATTTGGTGGTTTCCATCGACTCTGTCATTGGTTAAATAATCTTTTTTAAAAAATTTTTATTATTTAATAAATAATTAAACTTATTATTATCTTTTAAAGTAAGAGAAAAATAGTATCTTACCACAGTATGTCTCAATATACCAAAATTTCTCATCGCTCCACACCATGGAAATCATTAAGCACGAAGTTAAAATCAAGAATATTCCTTTCATCGTCAAGACTTAATTTTTTTTCCTATAATAGGCCTATTAAACGAGTATAATTATTATTAATTGTTAAAAATAATTGTGTATACTCTAAAAATTTTTAAACTAGTAACACATATACAATAGCTATGGAGAAAAAAAATCTAGTATTATGAGTAACTACTAATTTTAAACTGATAATAAGCTTTATATTCTTATATTATCTTATAAATCTAAGAGCTCTGAGTATTGGCTCTATGGACGACTTATCACACTGAGATGGGTAAACACAGGTTTATTATGGATTTTAGATAGTCCATCTATCTCTCTTCAGCCATGTTTGTTACAGTTTGGTGGGCTAACAGGAGTTTAAATGGTACATTGCCAATATATACAAAACACTATACTCCAGTAAACCCACCAAATTAAAACTTTATTAATTAAGCGTATTAAAAAATAAGTATATAAATTAAAAAAACACTCGAAAACTGAAATGTTATCTTTCATACGATAAAGCAGAAAATATTATATCAATGATTTACTAGAATATTGTGAAGGTGTATACAAAAACGATAGAAATAAATAATTCGAAACAGATAATAATAAATTTCGTGATTGAAGATCAAATAAATTGATGTAAATGCACACACACCTGGACAGACAGGACAAACAAACAGACACATAGGGGTATTGAGAGTAAACTTACCTTTCAAAAGCCAAGAATAATTTTAGTCAAACAAACAGAAAACGTTGCATTTTCTAACAAAAATGTACACCTAATAAGTCACGTGAATAAAAACTTTCAAATGGCAAGTAATGATGTCATTTGTATGTTTCGTATGTCGCAATGGCTTTTCTCCTACGCACTCTTTAATTTATTTCTATAAAGTGTGTTAATTTATACGAAATAAACTAATAGCCAATTTAGCAATAATCAGCGTGGATATAGTTCCATCTCATCAACTGAATTTTTGAGAATTGCCACGAAGAGTTTCGAGGAATTAAAGGCCCACAGGATCTATAAACATACAACACTAACACAGGGCTGGTTCAAACTTCGGTATTCTAAACCTGGGACCGTAGCCTGACTCATAGAAGGGTCCAAGTATTATTTATAAACATTTATGTGATCTAATTTGGTTTAAACTTATTTAAATAATTTTTAATATGCATTTGTATAATAAACATCAAAACAGGTGTGCTACAGGTATGAAGTTATTTTCAAGCACCGAAACACATATTCAAATGTTAGAAACTTCATTAACATCTTAGTAAATATATATAAAATTCACATTTAAAATATATTTTAAATTCCTAGATTTTCGCGATTTACTTGTTAGCTGCAATAACAAACAGTTCATGAACAAGTGTGCATTGCAGCTGTTTAACACAGACTTGTCTATATGAATGTGCTAGTTGTAAAATTTTAAGTGCAGCATCATTTAGTTTTAAATTATTTAAATATTTTAATATTTTAAATATTTAAAAATATTTATTATTAACTTCATCAATATTAAGAACGAAAACCATTTGATCGAGCATTTAGCCTATATATTGTGACATCGTCACGATTCCTGTTTCAATTTTTTATTATATTTTTAAAATTTATTTATTTTAAAATATGAGCTTTTCACCTCAAATTAATTGTCGCTTGCCCTTGTACTGTACGTCTTACGTTAGCTGTTAACAAGCCCCAGTACATCCTACTTTACCTGATAACAAGCCCCAGTACATCCTACTTTACCTGATAACAAGCTCCAGTACATCCTACTTTACCTGTTAACAAGCTCCAGTACATCTTACTTTACCTGTTAACAAGCTCCAGTACATCTTACTTTACCTGTTAGCAAGCCCTAGTACATTATAATTTTCCTTTAACAATAGAGTCATGCTGCCCATCTATCTAATGCCCTTTGAGAGAAAATATTCGAATTTAAATGACATATGTTCCGCATTATATCGAAGGTTCAAGTACAATAAATCAGGTCCTCCTGCCTCTAATCATTTCAGATCTGATTTTGTCTTTAATCTATCTAAGTCAATTCTCGAGAAAGGGAACGACAGATAAAGATATGACAGCGGAAATTTATAAGCATACGATGTTTTTCAAATTGCAACCCAATTATAAAATTAATCATCTTGTATGCAAATCACACATTTGTAAGTGATTAAAGTCTATTTTAATAAATTATTATATCTGCTCAAATATTATAATAAGTAGTCAAAGAATAATGTAAAATCAATAACATTTATTTTATATTTTACAGCAATTTTTTAAATGTTTAGTTATCGTCCTTGCCACGTGTAGACATTTCCTCACACCTACACGAGAGACGAGTGTGACAAATGTGCAGTCCCTCTTCAAGCAGAACAACTTTATTTATTACTAATATATTTTACGCTAACGAAATAATATATATTATTTAATTTTTTTCTAATTGTAACTTATTAGGCTGCAAATTTCAAATTACAGAACCGTACATTCCTTCTGTCATCCATTGTCTGTTTGTCTGCCCTTCTTTAAGATCGAGAATAGAGTAGCGTAGACGAAAATCGAGACTAAATTTGAAAAGATTCAAGGCTACAAAGAACTATATACAGGGGTGCAGTCACGTGATAAACGTCATCGCCAAGCCCACCAAAACAATCATTCGCCATATTGGTTGCTGATTTCATGTTAACTTGCTTGTTCGCTTTATTATGTCGAAGTGGAAGAAAGGCATCTTACCTGGCTATGCAGCCGAATTAATTAAAGGCTATTTTTTTGTAAAAACTTATTTTATTTTGTTCCAGTCAGTCCCTGATATGATAAATATGGCTATAATAATGTGATAATTTGTCTGGGTTACCAATCTAAGTTACACAATTTTCACCCTAAATAACCCATGTTAACTTAAATTTGTCAACTTTTTATTGCTTTTTAAATATTTCAATATGACATAAAAAATTACAAAATCCAACATCCTGAAAGAACTGCTAACTAACCCTATTTCTATGGAAAAATGAGGGTGTTTTGTTTCCTTTTTCCACCTCTTACCTTAAATTTTTCCAAACACCTGTCCGAATGACACAACGACGCATCCCGTCAGATGATGTTTTTCGATTTCAATCATTGGTCAAAAATCTGAATAAAAAGGACATGTTTTTCTCTTTTGGGAGAAGTGTTTCTGACTTAGCCACCTTTCCTGACTTATCCACTGGACCCTTCCACCAGCCTCTCCTTCTGAATTAGGGATCCAAACACTCCTAGACCAACAACATCCGATCATCCCCATCATGTCCAGCGAGGTAAACGTTTGCTTGTAAACTCTCGGGTTAAATAGAGACAGCGGCGGCCTTATCCATTGCGAGGCTCTGGGCGACAGATCTTTGCGAGGCCCTTGTCCTTTGTGCAAAGTATGTGAATTGAAATAGTATGCACTTATTAATATTAATATATACTGTACTATAAATTAAATTTATTTTATTGTTATAACTAATAGCCAAGGATAAAATAAAAAGTTTTAAATATCAACTTTTTTCTACTTGGTTGTTGCGCGAGGCCCCTCCAAGAGCGAGGCCCCGGGCGATTGCCCTGCTCGCCACCCCCTAAGGCTGCCACTGAATAGAGACCATAGGTTATTGATAGTATAGATGATCCATGTATCTTCCATGTTCACATTATTTACCTGTGTTTTTATTCTTACCTGTATTGTTGTTTATTTTGATTAAATTGTGGATTTTATATTAAATGACCTTCTTAGTCTAGTATTTATGGACGTTGCACAACCCCACACCGAACCTTACCACTTGGAGTCTGTTAAAATAACCATCCAGTGACCCAGTGAGCAGATCCTTCAGATCTGACGATTAAAGAGTCTTAACCCTTCGCCGTATTCTAACAATAAATTGGAGGGCATATTAGGCTGATTAGTTTAATCTTAATTTACATTATGGGATAAAAGCGTTATTTAATAACCTATTATTGTTTAAATATATTATTAGAAGTAAATAGCACAGTTTCTTACATTGTTTTTGTACACAGGTTGATCACTTACAAAATCTACAGCAGCCAGCTTTAGTAGTGTGAGTTTTAGCTAAGAAAAATGGAGAGGTGATAACTGGGCATTGCAATTGCATGGATGGACAATCTTCCTCCTGCTTTCATGTTGGTGCTATTCCTTTTGCCATTGAAGAAAGAATTTGGAAGATCCTTATTTTAATTCTTTCTTCAATGGCATGTATTGACCGACCAAATAATTGGATTGTGCCATATGTGATTGTAATTATAAGCCACTACGAAAAATAAACTTCACGTCAGCTGCAACTGCAAGAAACGGCAATGCCTTGAAGAAAAATATATACAAAAACCTTATTTATCAAGTGAGTAAACTTGGAATACTGGTATAAACAAACCTAGTAAGACAGAATTTGAGCAGTTTTTGAACAAAATATCTGTTCATAATCTGACTTCTGAAATTTTGTCAGTGATGCCAGGTTACTCTAATTCTTTTACAAACTATGTCAATTTATCTTTTCATAAGAACCCACTTACAACTCTATTTGATGCCAAAAAAAGCTGTTTTACCCTGGGATCAGCTGTTAAATCACTGCATGACAGTGTTTGAAACTTTGCATCTGAGAGATGAAAAAATTGATTGTATTGAAGAAAACACACAAGCACAGAGTAGAAGAAAGCTCTAGTTTGTGCATAGACCAGGTAGAATAACTGCTTCTGTTATGAAAAGTGTGTGTAGAGCAGATATAGAGACTCCACCAGTTTCATTAATTAAAAAAATTGGTTACTCTAAAGAATTATCTTTTAAGAGTGCTGCAACTGCATGGGGTTGTGAACACGAACAAATTGCTTCTGATGAGCATAAAAGATTACAATGCAAAAAAACATGAAAATTTTAGCCAATTACTCTTTCTACATTCTTCTTTCTTCAGATGTGAAAGTTTTCTGCTCTGCGTCACATCTGTAGCTGAAAGATTTTTCTTTTCTCTTGTGTATGCTGGAAGTAGAAGCTTTGCACAATCGAAATCTACAATGTCAGCTATGTTAAACCCTCTGTCGGCTAAAATAACATCACTTGGATTGAGATAATTTAAAAAGCCGTAATGATCAGTATCGGTCACTAATTTTACCTCTTCATGGTTTCGAAATAAATGATAATGTTCCTTGAGGTGTTACTCCTATTAAAAATTTTATGGTGGTGTGATGCTTATATTGTGACCAAGTCTGAGATCTCGAGATTAATGATGATCTATCAATAAAAATTTCAAAACAATCTATTACTATGGCAGTATTTTATCCAAGACAGTTTTTAAATACATTAGGCATTGTTTGCCGTAAAATTTTCCTATCCGGCCAGTGAATTAAATCAGACAAACGAACATACAAAACATTTTATCTATTTTTCCAGGATTCTTGAAACTGTTGATCGTAACACATGAAACCTGCAAGCAAGATCCTGATGACATATATTCATTCTGAATCTCATCAAACACATCAAAAATTCCTGAAACTGTGTTAATTTGCTTTGTTCTGAATGTTGAACAGCAGTAGAACATAAGTCGAATACAGCCAAAAGGACATTGAAGTTTACCATTCCTGTAAAAATCTTGTTTTTTTCATTATTTCTTTAAAATGACTGAAGTGAATTATAATCATTTATGGTAGCTGTTGCTTTTAATGTTGCCAGTTCTCTCCGAAGTGCATCACATTCCTGTTCCAAATTATGTATCATAATGGAATTAAGTTTTGTTTGTGACATTGATGCGACTCCTAT